AGCCCACCATCCGTTATAAATATCCAGGCTTTACAGCGGAGCTTTGCACTGTGGAGCGCCAAGAGGATGGATGGAGGATCTTCAGCAGACAGGAGCCAACGATGGCCGAGCAACCCATCAGTGTGACAGGATTTGACATTGCAGAAGAAGATCAGCGATTAGGGATCGTTATGCTTTGTCATAGTCATCATCGTAGTCAAGATCGTCCTGATGGTCTCTCTCTTTGGTTTGACAGCAGATTAGAAATATATGTTGTGTTGGCTTGGCTAGCTCTCCCATTACATTACTGGTGTGGGTGGCAACATTACAGGTGTCCTTGTCAAACAGTGCCACTTCAGTGGTGTTAAACAGGAGTTTGGTAGGATGAAAAGTGGATCTGCCATTTCCTGAATGTTCTCCTTACTTTGTTGCCAGTTGTTGTTAGTTTGGAGAGTGGAGTGGAGAGAAGAGTTTGGTCCATATGTAGTTCAGCAGGCCAGATCTGTTTGTGTTATATTATGGTTTGGATGCCGAAAGCTGCACATATAAATATTACCATCTGTTTTAAAGGGACACACATGCGCTCTAGCTCCCCCCTCTGGCAACAACAGCAAACTACACCACACACTACAAAACGCCTGCCAACAACGTGTATGTTGTACGTCTCCTAATCAAGCAAGTCTCCTAATCAAGCAAGTTCCTCCTTGGTGTCAATTGTACCCTATTCCTTTATCTAGTGCACTCCAAACTTGGTTCACTATATATGGAGTGGGCTCTCATTTTGGACGTCGCCCTGCCATCCTCTGTGTAACGCAGAATAAACCCGATTGGCTGCTGCAACATTTAGCTCCTCCACATCCTGTCACCTGATCAGAACCTTCCAATCAGAGCCTGAAGTAGACAGACGTTTCCTGTTTTAGGTTTTTGAATGCACAAGTAAACCAAACATATCTGTTATTTGGTTGATTATATTTAAGTATGTGCTACACTGCCAGTTGGGGTAACTAACCTAACTTCACTATTTATAGGCTATGTCCCGATATCTATACTAGCGCACTACTAAGTATGCATGCCCAATATATTCTAAGTAGTATGCTAGTGCGGATTTTGGAACAGCCAGTTTCTCTCAACAGAGCGCTAAATGGGATATGGCCCACGAATCATAAAGCTTCTCAGAGTAGGAGTGGTGATCTAGGATCAGTTTGGCCTTTTAGATCATAATGAATCAGATTATTATGGACCGGGAAGACCTGATCCTAGGTAACCACTCCTACTCCGAGAGGCTTTATGAATACAGGTCCTGATCCATAGCTCTGACATGGGAGGTGATTATATTAGCTAGGACAAAACACACCTGTGTTTAATTGAATGTAAAACGTCTGCCATTGAAATGTACAGTAAGGTACTGGCTTCTCATTGGTTGGCCCATACACATTGCCTGGGGTTTTCACCTATCCTGACCAGTACTAGTTATATATATTTTTGCATCCCAAATGGCACCCTATTCCCTACATAGTGCACTATTTTTGACCTGGTCCCATAGGTTGCGTTTGGAGTGTGGGAGAGCTAAACTCATTAATGATTGAATTTAGGCCTGCTGTAGATGGGTTACTATCTACCAAGTAAACACTAGGACACTCCTCTAGCCGGTAGGGTTCACTCTGAGTCACAAAAGGGCACCCTATTTCTCTTGTGGGGTGTGTGTGTGTTGTAAACAGTGGTTTGACCCCTTTCTTTCTCTCTGGGTGATTTGCTGACCGTGCATTTGGCACACACACACACACACACACACTAGGGTTGATTTGTGTTTGGAGTAAGCGACCGCGAACACACACCGCAGGACACAGTACAGAAAAAGCGCTTCTTTCCGTAGTGTGTGTTCCAGCCTAGCTTAGAGGGACATGTAATGTAGCCTGATGTTGCTACGTCAGTAAATACTGTTCACATCTAGCAGCTTCATATGTTACCAACACACTACACTGGTCTGTAATGGAGCCTGTTTTACTTCCTGGATTCTGTCTTCCTCGTCTCCTCTCCTTCATCTGCAGTGATGTATGAACACTGGGTAGGGGACAGCAACATTTTGCATGCCTTTCCAGGTATTTGCTTTCACCAGTCCAGTCCTTTCAGGTCAATGCAGATGAAGGGAAGGAGACTGGGATAGAGGAGAGGAGACCACGTTAAGACTATTGTGACTCAGCCCCTCAGGTCTGGGAGGAGTTCAAAGGTCATTTTAGCTGCTGGGTCTTTTTTTTAGGTTCAGGTTGAAGTTGACCCCCAGGCACAGATCTAGGATCTGTGGGATCTACCTTTACCATTATTCCTGAACTTGATCATTTTGGTTGGAAACCTCTAAAACAGACCACAGATCAGTCTCTAAAGGCATCTTCAGCCGTTCTGTTTCTTTGAAATGAAATCCTGTAAGTGTATGTGCTGACACATGCAGTCCGTGACCCAAATGGAACTCCTATTCCCTATATAGTGCACTGATTTGGACCAGAGCCCTGTGCACTAGATTGGGAATATTGGGATCACCGCACCTCCCATAAACTGGATGAGATGGGAAGTGATCTCAAAACAAGGATTGGGAACAACCTATATTAAAAACTAAGGTCTGTTTTTTTTTTTTTTTTAATTATAATTATTAGAAATGTTATGTTGACTTTTTCCTAGATGTGTCTTTAAAAAAATATATTTGTCTAATTTAGTCCTACCATTCTTGTGTAGGCAGCTGAGATGAATGTGTTTTTTTTTAGTTATTTGGGGTTATAGTTCAGAGATATTGCCATGCGTTCCAAATGGCTCCCTGTTTGATGCACTACTTTTGACCATGTATTTCCCCATAGGGCTCTGGTCAAAAGTAGTGCAGTATATAGGGAATAGGGTGCCATTTGGGACGTAGATGTTTACAATGTGTAAATATAAAGATTTTATTGGAGTATAAGTAATTGCTTGCTTGAAATAATCAGAGGTCCATGCGTTAGCATGATCGGTAATGTTATATTTGGGGTCCAGAGTTTTTCTTAACCTCGTGACCCGACCTGGAAACACTCTGGACCCTAGTTATAGCTCATAACTGATATCTAGGGCCCAAGTTACAGTACATGTTTAGAAAAACTCCCTGGTCCTAGAAATATTACATGGCCAATATGAAAACACTCCCTAGCCAAAATAAATACATTTGATAAATAATCATGACACAAAGCCAAAATGCTCTGTTTGGAGAATCTTCTTCTTTTGAATGAATTTGCAGGGTTATTTTACCCTCTTATCCAAACTATATTTAAAAAGAGTGGAGTCAATTCCATTTCAATGCCAGTCAACTAAACATTGGAGATTTGTCGATAGATGTCCTCTTCACTTATTTAACTAGCCAAGAATGTAAATGGAATTGAACCCGGTTCTGGTCTTCTGTACAAAGTGATTACGTTGAAGTACACTTTGAGAAAGTGAACAGTGTGTATTGGGATGCAGAGCGGTCTCAGCCCAGATGCAGTGAAGCTTGGTATGGTTAAAAAATAAAATAAAAAAATGTGGTCCCCAAACTGTCTCCAATAAATAAAAAAACGACTTGTGTAAGATGGGGAGGGGAAAAAAACAATCAAACTGCATTGTCATTTGTTTCCCTCGGTCTGTCTCTGTGTACTAGTTCTGTTACATTGTACATTTTATAAGTACTGTCGAACATGTACAGTTTTTTTAACTGGTAAACGGGATGTTCTCTTCTCTCAGGGGTTGCTGCTGTCTCCACTGACTCCTATCATTGTTCTACAGTCTTTTACAGAACTACACGACAATCCAAAAATACAACAGAAATTCCCCAAAGATTACACATTAGGGATGTACATGAATGATAACAAGCGTCTTCTTGCTTCATAAAGCTGGGAATCAACAACCCTGTTTCGTGTTTTTAAATCTGTTTCACCCCCTGAAGATTTCCCGCCCCATTGTATTAAATAAAGAATGATGAAGTAACAGTTGTACATTTAATTCGGATCAGGTACATAATACTTACAGGATACAACTGTCAGAAAAATAGACAAACTTCAAGGGCTAGCTAAACCTTGAGGGGCTCTCGCTTGCTTGTTAAAGTATATAATAGTATTGCCAAGGTGAGGGATCTAAATAGGATTTAGCAAGCACCTCGTGGAACAAGTATTGTGTGTAATATCAACACAACTTAAAAGGATCAGAACACTAATACACACACATACAACCAAAAGAGACAAAATACTGCATTTACATGGTAAGGACAGGGTTATGGTGAAGTAGACGTTGCTGTAAAAGGTGTGTCTCTTGTAGCCTATACACAGCATTCTCTCTCAGAATCTTCAGGTATGTCTTTAGTTCTAGAACATCTGGGCTGTGTTCTCTACGGCCATATTGTCCCTGGTAGTTAATTACAATAGTCCTGTGAAGCCTGGCAATAGTTCCAGTCCAAAGCAGCCAGCCAGATACAAGGTGTGGTAAAGGTCGCCCCCTTGTGGAATAGAAAGAAGAGGCCCCAATATCTTGTTTTGTGTAGCAGAAGCTGAAGCAAACAAGTTATATACTTTTCTGTACATCTTACACAAGCCCCCCACTTGCAAAAAAAAACACGTCATGGTAACCAATGTTTCAAACGCAATTCATGAGCTTCGTAAAAAGCTGTACTGTGACAAGGGATAGTATACCATAACATAGTCTTCAGCCGTATCACACAGAGTCCAAAGGGGATATAGGGACAATAGTGTAACAAAAAACGTACTGTTGTGTGTAATGTTAGTCCCAAGCAGTGTTAGTATAAAACAGTATGTGTGTATGTTTGGGTTGTGCTTGTCTGACACATATATATACCCTCCTCTACGCTCACCAGAGTCCTTCAACATGTTCCAACCACCTCCCATCAGCCTAGAAACTGGCTAGCCATAAGGCAGAACCGGCAAAAGCCCGGTGGGCTGGTCCAACGATTTCTAGTCCCAATCCGCCCCGGGACTGCACTCACCCCTCCATCCCACCGCCCAGTGTCCTGTCCTGTCCTATCATACCATGGTCTCCGACTCCGAGCCCTTCCCTGTGAAGAAGTCCCAGAAATAACTGGAATGACTAGGAGAGGGCTTCTCCCTCTCCTCCTGGGACGTCTGCCTCACCCAGACACTGTTATCCCCCTGTCCTCCCAGGCTGGAGCATGAGGCAGCCCCCAGGGTGAAGCTCAGATCTTCCCCCAGCGGGGCCCTCTGTTCCTGGGCCTGGAGGTGACTGTCCTCTGGGTGGACTCTGGAGCTGCTGGAGGGCTGGGCCAGACTCAGGAGGTTGTGGTGGGAGTGGAACGGTCTCATCTGGCCGATGGATTTGGACGGGATCACGTTGGAACCTGTGGAGGGAGAGATTTGTTACTTTGTTATTACTTTCCTCTTTTGTTTTCTAATGCTCCTCTATTGTTCTTCAAACAAGGGGGAGGGCCGATGACATCACGGATTCCCATCAGACCAACACCTTGAAGTTTGCAGTTGTGTCTAAAAAACACTATTTTGCTGAAAACCCTTTTTTTTTTTACACTTAACTGCATGTACTCTTATCCAGAGCGACTTACAGGAGCAATTAGGGTTAAGTGCCTTGCTCAAGGGCACATCAACAGATTTTTCACCTAGTCGGCTCGGGGATAAGAACCAGCGACCTTTCGGTTACTGGCACTACGCTCTTAACCACTAAGCTACCTGCCGCCCTATGGGGTTTTGTTTTTCCAACAGGAAAAGTTCTAAAATAGCTGGAGTGCGTCTTTAACCCTAAGCCTAGCCATAACCATAGCAACAGAACGAATAAAGGTGTCCCCTTGTCACGATCGTCATGGAGAGACCAAGGCGCAGCGTTGAAGCTGAACATATTATATTTATTTAATGATCACACGATCAAAACAACAAACGAAAAACGTGACGTCTATGGTTTAAACACAAACCAACACGAACAAGAAACCACAAACACAAAGTGAAAGACAGACAGTTAAATATGGCTCCCAATCAGAGACAACCAGCTGACACTCGTTGCCTCTGATTGGGAGTCACTCAGGCCAACATAGATAGACAACGACTAGAACCTAAACAAAATAAACACCCTGGCTCAACATACGAGAGTCCCCAGAGCCAGGGCGTGACAGTACCCCCCCCCCCCCCCCCCAAAGGCGCGGACTCCGACCGCGCCAACCAACCACAACAGGGGAGGGACCGGGTGGGCACTCCGCCTCAGTGGCGGATCCGGCTCCGGACATGACCCAGGCACGGGTTGTGCTGGACTGACGACGCGCACCCCTGGCTTGGTGCGTGGAGGAGGAACGGGCCTTACCAGGCTGACGACGCACACCGTAGGCTTGGTGCGTGGAGCAGGGACAGGCCGGACTGGGCTGACGAAGCACACCACTGACTTGGTGCGGGGAGCAGGAACGGGCCGAGCCGGGCTGACGAAGCGCACCACTGCCTTGGTGCGGGGAGCAGGAATGGGCCGGACCGGGCTGACGAAGCGCACCCCTGACTTGGTGCGGGGAGCAGGAATGGGCCGGACCGGGCTGACGAAGCGCACCCCTGACTTGGTGCGGGGAGCAGGAATGGGCCGGACCGGGCTGACGACGCGCACCACTGACTTGGTGCGGGGAGCAGGAATGGGCCGGACCGGGCTGACGACGCGCACCACTGACTTGGTGCGGGGAGCAGGAATGGGCCGGACCGGGCTGACGACGCGCACCACTGACTTGGTGCGGGGAGCAGGAATGGGCCGGACCGGGCTGACGACGCGCACCACTGACTTGGTGCGGGGAGCAGGAACGGGCCGGACCGGGCTGACGACGCGCACCACTGACTTGGTGCGGGGAGCAGGAACGGGCCGCGCCGGGCTGACGAAACGCACCACTGACTTGGTGGGAGTGGCAGGAACAGGCCGGACCGTACTGGGAACACACACCACTGGCCCTACGTGGGGATCAGGAACAGGCCGGACCGGACTGGCAACACACGCCAGTACCTCTCGCCGTGCCTCTACAACCTCCTTCCCCCTGGTGACCAGTGACTCCCGTAACCTGGCGGCCTCCTCTGCCAACCCGCTGGACCGCTCTATCGCGGCCTCCTGCTGCCCCGACGTCGTGAGCCCCCCCCTAAAAAATTTCTGGGGGTCTCTCCTCCCCGTGGGCCAGGCCTCCATCGTTCTCGCCCAACTCTCGCTCCTCTGTCTCCAACTCCCGCCATTCAGCTCCTCAATGGGCTTGACCCAGTCGAAGCTCTTCCTCAACTGGTCCCAAGTCCACCCTCTCTGCTCCTCACTAGGCTTGACCCAGTCGAGGTTGCCACGGAGATCTGCTAGCGATGGCTCCTGGACACGCTGCTTGGTCTGGTTTTGGTGGTTTCTTCTGTCACGATCGTCATGGAGAGACCAAGGCGCAGCGTTGAAGGTGAACATATTATATTTATTTAATGATCACACGATCAAAACAACAAACGAAAAACGTGACGTCTATGGTTTAAACACAAACCAACACGAACAAGAAACCACAAACACAAAGTGAAAGACAGACAGTTAAATATGGCTCCCAATCAGAGACAACCAGCTGACACTCGTTGCCTCTGATTGGGAGTCACTCAGGCCAACATAGATAGACAACGACTAGAACCTAAACAAAATAAACACCCTGGCTCAACATACGAGAGTCCCCAGAGCCAGGGCGTGACACCCCTCTATGACCCGTGACTTACGTTTCTTGTTATTGTGGTGTCGTAGGGCGTCCAGGTTAAAGAACACCTCACTGGTCAGGCTGCCGTCCCCGGGCCCGTCCGGGTTGAAGAGGGGCGAGGGGGGCTCCAGGGGGGACAGGTTATAGAGGGGCGAGGGGGGCTCCAGGGGGGACAGGTTATAGAGGGGCGAGGGGGTCTCCAGGGGGGACAGGTTATAGAGGGGCGAGGGGGGCTCCAGGGGTGACAGGCTACCACTGGACACCCCCACAGAGTCCAGAGACACCCCCGTGTCCCGCCGACCCCCCGTAGAGTCTACTGTCCCCACCGCCAGGTGACTGTCACCGTGGGAGGGAGGAGAGTGAGGGGGAGAGGGAGGAGAGGGAGGAGGAGAGGGAGGAGGGGAGATGTAGGAGAGGGAGGGGAGAGGAGAGGTGGGGGGGAGAAGGGGAGGAAGGAGGGGGGAGGAGGAAAGGGTATTTTTTTTGTTTTTTTTCTAGTTGGGTTTTAGGGGGGGAGAGTGAGGTTTTTTAGAGGGTTTGTTTTTTCCCTTCTTGGGGGCTGCCCTTTTTCTCTCGTTTTAGGTAGAGGTGAGAGTATTTTATTATCCACGTTGCAGAAAGTCTTGCAGTGCTGGTGATAAAGATATATACACATACTCAATAAAACACACAACACTGGGATTCAGACACAACTGATGTGCTGATCCAGGACCAGTTTTGCCTTTTAGATCATAATAAATAAGAATAGACAAGGGGAACTACTCTGAGACTCTTTGTAAATATGGGCCCTGAAATACACCTACCTGAGTTTCCTGCGGAGGAGATAGTCGATGATGTCAGGATCTGTCTGAATGAGACTCATCAGCACCTCTTGCTGGAGCTCTGCTGACACCTGGGGAGAAGAGGACAGGAGATTTACACACACACACACACACCGCCTCCACCCCACCCCACCCCACCTCACACACACACACCACACACACAAAACCCCCCCCTTATGCACACTTCGTACCGTGAACAGTCGCCTGTAGTTCTGTATAAGGTGCAGGGTGACGTTGATGATGGCGGTGCTGTCCTCGATGCCCATGGCGTGAGGACTCATCTCCCTGTCCCCTCCGCCCCTTTCCCCCTGCAACAGGTTGGGACCAAAGATCACCGCCAGGTTGGTCGCTGTCATCTTGTTGCCTGGGAACTGCAGTGAGAGGGGAGAGAGGGGGGTTAGGGGGAATGACCACATATTAGGTCTACCTACTGTTCAGGCTAGGCTAGTTACAGTATAAGCTACAGAGACAGAGAGAGAGAGAGAGAGCAGAGAGAGGGAGAGAAAGGGAACAGAGAGAGAGAAGAGACAGGAGAGGAAGGACAGATAGACAGAAGACATGAGGACAGAGAGAGGGACAGAGAGAGAGACAAGACGAGGGACAGAAGAGAGACCGAGAGAGAGGACAGATGAGAGAGAAGAAGAGGACAGAGAGAAGAGAAGAGAGAGAGAGAGAAGGACAGAGACAGAGGAGAGAGAGAGAGGGACCAGAGACAGAGAGAGAGAGAGAGAGAAGAGAGAGAGAAGAGAGAGAATGTAGATGAGAGTATATATGATGCTAGAGATAGTTAGACAAGATAAGTAGAGTAGACGAAATCGATATAGAGAGAGAATATGCAGTGAGAGACAGAGACAAAAAGAGAGAGGGTTAGGAGGGTTAAGTTTGAACCCAAAATCCATTATGTTCTCTCCTCTTGAGTGTGAGAGAGAGAGAAGCTGACTTGTTGAGGATGGACAGATGCTGACAGAGAAAGACAGAAAAATAGAGAAACAGACATAAGCTGACAGGGAAAGAGATAGACAGGTGAACAGAATGATAGACAGACACACACACACACACACACACACACACACAAGTCTTGTACAGCTAACCTTGTGGGGACACACAATTCAATCACATTCAAAATCCTATTTTCCTTAACCCCTAACCCTAACCTTAACCCAAAAACCTAACATCATCCCTAAACCTAAACCTACCCCTAGCTCCTAACCCTAACCCTAAAACTAACCCTAGCTCCTAACCCTTAACGTAATTCTAACACTAATTCTAACCTTAACCCTAAACCCCCTAGAAATATCATTTGACCTCATGGGGACCAACAAAATGTCCCCAGCTGGTCAAATGTTTTAGTTAAACACGTCCACACACACACACACACACACACACACACACAACACAACACAACACACACTTGGACACTAACCACCTGGTCCTGTGGTCCCGTGGTGTCCTCTGCGTGGCTCTGTACGGTGTGTAACAGGGTGAGGAGGCGGAGCAGGGTATCACAGTTACAGGCCGGTAACAGGTAGAGCATCAGCTGCAGGTACTGGAACTGGTCTGTCCCTCGCAGAACTACAGGACAGAGACGGGTTAGATACCCACAGAGGAGACAGAGACGGGTTAGATACCCACAGAGGAGACAGAGACGGGTTAGATACCCACAGAGGAGACAGAGACTGGTTAGATACCCACAGAGGAGACAGAGACGGGTTAGATACCCACAGAGGAGACAGAGACGGGTTAGATACCCACAGAGGAGACAGAGACGGGTTAGATACCCACAGAGGAGACAGAGACTGGTTAGATACCCACAGAGGAGGACAGAGACGGGTTAGATTACCCACAGAGGAGACCAGAGACGGGTTAGATACCAACAGAGGAGACAGAGGACTGGGTTAGGATACCCACAGAGGAGGACAGAGACGGGTTAGATACCACACAGAGGAGAATAGACTGGTTTAGAACCCACAGGGAGAAAGAAAGGGGTGTTTGGGTTACCCCAGAGGAGACGAGCGGGTTGGGATACCCCCAGAGGGACGGGAAGACGGGTTTAAATCCCCACAGAGGGGGGGACAAAAAGGGTTGATACCCCCAGAGGGGGACAGAGAGGGGTTTTAAGAACCCACAAAAAAAGCCAGGTTAGATACCCACAGAAGACAGAACGGGTTAGATCCCCACAGAGGAGACAGAGGGGGGTTTAGATCCCACAGAGGAGACGAAAAGGGGGGTTAAATCCCCACAGAAACAAAACCCGGGTTAGATACCCAAAGGAGAACAGAGACGGGTTAGTTTACCCACAAGGGGGGACAGAGAGGGTTTTAATCCCACATGGAACAAGGGGGGGTTTAAAGTACCCACAGAGGAGACAGAGAGGGGTTAGATCCCCCCGAAGACAAAGGGGGTGTTAATCCCCCACAAGGAGACAGAAAAAAAAAGGGGTTTAAAGATCCCCAACCAGGGACAGAGGGGGGGTTTTAAATACCCACGGGGGGGAGCCCAGGGGGGGGTTGGTTTAATACCCCCAAAAGGAGACAGAGAGGGGTTAAAAAACCCACAAGGGGGACAGAGTGGGGTTTAGATACCCACAGGGGAAACAAGGGGGTTAATTACCCCAGAGGGAAGAGAGGGGGTTAGATCCCCAAAGGGGGAACAGAGACGGTTAGTTTCGGTTGGCGGGGGGGGAAAGGCACTTTAGAGTTTCTCTGGGCAGTGGGGGGTCAGGGTGTGTGGGGGGGGTTTTTTGGGGTGTGTGTACGGTTGGCTTTGGGGGAAGGAAAGGGTAGAGCTCTCTGGGCAGTAAAAGGGTCGGGGTGTGGGTGTGTTTTGTGGGGTTGCCCCGTAGGGTTGGCCTTGGGGGGAAAGGCACGTAGAGTCTTGGGCATAAGGGGCCCGGGGTGGTGTGGTGGGGTGGGGTTCTTTAAGGGTTGGCGTGGGGGGGAAAGGCAGCGTAGAGCTCTTTTGGGCGTAGGGGGGGTCAGGGGTGGGTGTTTTGTGTGTTCTTTATTTTTGGCGTGGGGGAAAGGGCAGCGTAGAGCTCTCGGGCATTAGGGGGGTAGAGTGTGTGTGTGTTTGTGTGGTGTACGGTTGGCTTGGGGGAAAGAAAGGCGTAGAGCTCTCTGGGCAGTAGAGGGTCAGGGTGTTGGTGTGTGTGTGTCGTAGGGTTTTTGGCGTGGGGAAAGGGCCCAGGGGAGAGCTTTTGGGGGCGTAGAGGGTCAGGGTGTGTGGGTGTGGGGTGTTGGGGGTCGGAATTTTGGCTGGAGGAAGGCAGCGTAGAGCTCTTTGGCAGTAGGGGTTTTTCAGGGTGTGTGTGTGTTGTTTTGTGTGTACGGTTGGCGTGGGGGAAAGGGCAGCTTAGGGGGCTCTCTGGGCAGTAAGGGTCAGGGTTTGTGTGTGTGTGGTTGGTGCGTACGGGGGGCCCGTGGGGGAGGAAAAGCGTAAGCTCTTTTGGGCATTTAGAGGGTCGGGGTTTGGGGTGGTGTGTGGGGTCTTACGGTTGGCTTTGGGGGAAAAGGGCAGCGAAAGGGGTCTCGGGGGGCAGTAGGGGGTCGGGTGTGTGTTGTGTGTGTTTTTTTTAGGGTTTGGCGGGGGGGAAAGGGACTTAGAGCTTTTCGGGGCATTAGGGGGTTCAGGGTGTTGTGTTTGTTTTTGTGTCACGGTTGGCGTGGGGGAAAGGCAGCGTAGAGTTTCTCGGGCATTTAGAGGGCCCGGTTTTTTGTGGGGGGGTGTTGTCGTAGGGTTGGGGGGGTGGAGGAAGGCAGCTTTAGAGCTCTCGGGGCCCAGGGGGGGTCAGGGTGTTTTTTTTGTGTGTGGGCCCCGTTTTTTGGGGCGTGGAAAAGGGGCAGCTTAGAGCTCTCTGGGCGTAGAGGGTAAAGGGTTTGTGTGTGTTTTGGGGGTTTGTGTCGTACGGTTGGCGTGGGGGAAAGGGCAGCAGCGGGCTTTTGGGCATAGAGGGTCAGGGTGTGGGGTGTTTTGTGTGGGTGTGTCGTACGGTTGGCTTGGAGGAAAGGAAAGCGTAGAGCTTTTGGGCAGAAAGGGGCCCAAGGGTGTGTGTGGGGTGTGGTGGGTCTTTACGGTTGGCGTGGAGGAAGGCAGCGAAAGGCCCCTTTGGGCAGTAGGGGGTCAGGGTGTTTTGTGTTTTGTGTGGTCGTACGGTTGGCTTTGGGGGAAGGCAGCGTAGACTTTGGGGCAGTAGAGGGTCAGGGTGGGGTTTTTGTGGGGTTGGGGTCTTTACGTTGGCGGGGGGAAGGCAGCGTAGAGCTCTCTGGGCGTAGGGGGTCAGGGTTTTGGTGTGGGGTTTTTGTCGAGGGTTGGCGTGGGAAAAGGGCCGCTTTAGAGCTCTCTGGGCATTAGAGGGGTCAGGGTTTGGTGTGGTGTGTGGTCGTACGGTTGGGGGTGGGGGAAAGGGCAGCGAAAGGGGCTCTCGGGGCAAGTAGAGGGTCGGGGTTTTGGTTGTGTGTGTGTCGAAAGGGTTTTGGCGTGGAGGAAGGCAGCGTAGACCCTTTTCTGGCATTTAAGGGGGTCGGGGGTGTTTTGTGTTGTGTCGTAGGGTTGGCGTGGGGGAAGGCAGGTAGAGCTCTCGGGGGCAAGAGGGTCGGGGTTTTGGGGTGGGTGTGTCGTGGGTTTGGGGTGGGGGAAAGGCACGTAGAGCTCTTGGGCAGAGAGGGTCAGGGTGTGTGGGGTGTGTGTCGTAGGGTTTGGGGCGGGGAGGAAGGCGGGTAGAGCTCTCGGGGTGGGGGGGTCAGGGTTGTGTGTGTGTGGGCCGTAGGGTTTGGGCGTGGGGGGAAGGGCCCAGCGTAGAGCTCTCTGGGCAGTAGAGGGGTCAGGGGTGGGGGGGTGTGTGGGTTTGGCGTGGGGGAAAGGGCACCCGGAGAGCTCTTTGGGAGAAAGGGGGTCGGCTTTTCTCTAAAGGAACCCCCTTCGGGAACCGCCACATCATGGACATTTGGGGGCTCCTCATCCAGACTACATCTTTTCCCCTTTGTCAAAAGTCCTCACCCCGCTGAAGGGGCAAAAAAAACCCCAACACACACACACACACACACACACACACCCCCAAAAACCCAAATATTAGAAAAAAAGCAAAATTACACGCACCCCAAAGGTAGTGGTTTCCACAACCCCAAAAATACAAAATTTGAAGAAACCCATATGAGAGTCCCAAAAACACACACACCACACACACAAAACACACACAAAAATCAGAAAAAAGACATACACTAAACAAAATCAAAAAAATTCCCCCGGTTTACACACCCCAGTAAAAAAGACATTTTTCCCCATGTGAGCCCCTTTTAAAAAACAGGAAATTACATTTTCAACGGCCCGGGGTTTAAACAGCAGGGGGGGAAACACAACCTGCCACAACATAAACCCAAAAAATTTAAAAAAACATTAACACCCCTTTGGGGGTTAAAAAATCACGCGTAAAAATTAACAAAAACCCAGTAGGTATAAATCCGGGCAGTACATTAAAAAACCCATTGGTAAAAATCACGGCAGTAAAAAAAAAAAACCCCCAAGGTTAATCACTGAAAAGTACATTAACACACCCAGTAGGTATAAATCACTGCAGTACATCAACACACCCAGTAGGTATAAATCACTGCAGTACATCAACACACCCAGTAGGTATAAATCACTGCAGTACATCAACACACCCAGTAGGTATAAATCACTACAGTACATAGGCTAACGTGTAAACTAAACTCCTGAGTGGCGCAGTGGTCTAAGACACTGCATCACTGTGCCACTAGATCCTGGTTCGAATCCAGGCTCTGTCGCAGCCGGCCGCGACCGGGAGACTCATGGGCCGGCGCACAATTGGCCCAGCGTCGTCCAGGGTAGGGGAGGGAATGGCCGGCAGGGATGTAGCTCAGTTGATAGAGCATGGCGTTTGCAACGCCAGGGTTGTGGGTTCGATTCCCACGGGGGGCCAGTGTAAAAAAAATATGTATTCACTAACTGTAAGTCACTCTGGATAAGAGTGTCTGCTAAATGACTAAAATGTAAATGTAATGTGGAAATGCAAAAAAACAAAAGGCTCACCTGCCGAACTCTCTTTATGGAGCTGCCAACACGAAAGATCCCCAAAGTTTGTAGCCCTAAGAAGACAAAGTTGACATTTAATAACAGTTGGTGGTTCATTGTATCCTCTGTGTCTAACTCATAGGCTGTATTGATATAACTGGACACAACCATAATCTGTGTTACGAATGGATTCCTATGATGAAGGTAGAGCCAGAAGAGGACAGCCCTCTGACTCTGCGTCCTCTCTAGGTTTCTTCCTATGTTCCTGCCTTCTTGGCAGTTTATCATGGCCACTGCGTCTCTCTTTGGGGTTTTAGGCTGGGTAACAGCACTTGTAACCTAACATAGCAGGCGTAGAAAGACGCCTGAGGAAAACGGAAGTAAGGTTGAAAATAGTGTATCCCGGAAAACTAGAAACATGCGCTTTCTGCCAATGCCGCTAAAGGTGCAGCACTTGGGACAAATGCTGATGTAAAAATGGCTTTATATACACACACACACCTACACACACTTTATTAAATATTGATTACAAATTGATTGCTCTGGTTTATGCCAAAAGACTAAAGAAAGTAATAGATAACATTATAAATGATATTCAAGCAGGCTTTATGAAGGGCCGTCACATCAATTCCAACATTTGTTTAGTCTTGGACTTTATGGATTATTCAGATGCAATTGGCTCAGATGATATTTTATTTTCAGACTTCAATAAAAGCCTTTGACACAATTGAACATGAATTTCTCTTTCGGTCTCAAACTTTTTGGTTTTGGTGGACATTTTATTGAAGTCATTCGCATGTTTTACAAAGATATAAATAGTTCTGTGATACTAAACCTTAATACATCCAAAAGATGTGTACGACAGGGATGCCCAATTTCGCCTTTTTTATTCATTTTTGTAGTGGAACTTCTATCTCTAGATATTCTGAATAACGCAAATTTGCATGGTTTATCCATTTTTGACAGAGAAATCAAAATTCCCCAACTGGCTGACGATAACATTCTTTTTTTTTTTTAAGACAAAGACCAGGTCGCCCATGCCCTTAATGACATCACTGCATTCTCTATCTGGTGTTTCTGAAATCGTATGTTTATATGACTCTCAGACAATACAGAAATAAACAATATTCCTCTAAAGGACTGTGTGAAATATTTAGGAACACATCTATCTAAAAAATCACTTAGCCTAAAATTAAGAAAACCAAGAATATATTTAATAATTGGGTACAAAGGGATGTATACTTGGGAGAGTGCTTCTGTCCAAGATAGAGGGACCGTCTCACGTTGTGAACCCCTCATTGTCTTTATTTGTAAATCCCACTACCTCTAAAGAGATCAAATCTAATCGTATTTGTCACATGTGCCGAATACAACAGGTGTAGACCTTACAGTGAAATGCTTACTTACAAGCCCTTAACCAACAATACAGAAACTACGAGTTAAGATAAACTAAAGTAAAAAAAAAAATAACACAATAAAATAACAATAACAAGGCTATATACAGGGGGTACCGGTACAGAGTCAGTGTGCGGGGTTACAGGTTAGTCGAGGTAATTGAGGTAATATGTACATGTAGGTAGGGGTAAAGTGACTATGCATAGATAATAAACAGCGAGTAGCAGCAATGCAAATAGTCCGGGTGGCCATTTGATTAATTGTTCAGCAGTCTTATGGCTTGGGGGTAGAAGCTGTTAAGGAGCTTTTTGGACCTAGACTTGGTGCTCCGGTACCGCTTGCTGTGCGGTAGCAGAGAGAACAGTCTATGACTAGGGTGGCTGGAGTCTTTGAGAATGTTTTGGGCTTTCCTCTGACACCGCCTGGTATAGAGGTCCTGGGTGGCAGGAAACTTGGCCCCAGTGATGTACCGGGCCGTACGCACTACCCTCTGTAGTGCCTTACGGTCGGATGCCGAGCAGTTGCCATACCAGGATGCTCTTGGTGGTGCAGCTGTATAACCTTTTGAGGATCTGGGAACCCATGGCAAATCCTTTCAGTCTCCTGAGGGGGAATAGGTGTTGTCGTGCCCTCTTCACGACTGTCTTGGTGTGTTTGGACCATGATAGTTTGTTGGTGATGTGGACAATACCTTTCTTGACTTCAGCTGGAAAAAATAAGTCTCACAAACTGAAAAAGTCAGTCCTATCAAATAAAAAAATGGAAGTGTTGGATTTTGTTGACATAAATAACACTTTCAAGATCATTTGGTTGAAAAGATATTTGGTCAAATACAGAATCAATTTGGTATTTCATTCCAAGCAATGTGTTTAATAAGTTGGGAGGTCTTCCATTTTTACTGAAATGTAATTATTTTCCCAAAAGATTACCCGCTAAATTGGTTAGGTTTCACCAACAAGCTTTAATGTCGTTGGTGATGATCACAGAGCTTATCCAGAACTCAGCTTGGAAGACGTGGGCTGACTTGAGAAATATTGTTGTAACAAATACATAACACAAATGTTCCATTCAAGGAACCAATTTACGCCTAGAGGTAAAACATTTTGGAACATGTTTATTCCTGACATTGTCTGGGGAAAAAAAGCTTGGTTGATGCCTTACAAATACTGTATACCAAACAAATTTAAGGAAGTGCAGTTTAAGATTCTACATAAGATACGGTATATCCATGTAATTCTATGTTGTCCGACATTTTTGATATTGATGATATCTGTGTTTTCTGCGAAAAAGAAAATCTTACACACTTGTTCTATGACTGTAAATCTGTGATAGATTTTTCGGAAAACCTTGCAGAGTACATATTTAGCTTTTTGAACACTACCCATGTTTTTGACATTAAGGATTTAATATGTTACTATTGCAATGATAAGAAGACCATTGAAGACCATTTATTCTTGTTGCCAGATACTTTATACACAAACATAAATTCCAGAATGCTATAACAAAATTACAAATATCTGTGATTGAATTTAATCATGTTGTTAAGACTTTATCCATAGTTAATTACAAAAAGAATAACATCTTCTTCAATCATTATAATTCGATTTTTTCCTGAGTGAATTCAATATTTTTTGTATGTATTTAAAGTATTTTCTTGCTTTTACCTGTGTTTTGTTTTGTGTGACATGTTTGATGTAGTGATGTAAGTTGTTGATCGCTGATAATTTGTGTAATTAAATATTTGTGCCTGATAGAAAAAACTAAATAAATTAAACATTTTTTTTTTTTTTAAATTAAACGACACACACACTTACAACACACACTCACCGTGTCTCTCTATGTGACAGCAGCAGCGTTCCACCAGGCGGGGGACCTGCCTATAGATGGGGTTGAGGCTGAGCTTGGTCTGGCTCCGCCCCCCGGCTCCGGCTGCAGTCTTCTTCAGCTCCAGCTCTGCAGGGTGGGACAGCTGCAGCGCCTCCAACAGGCGGGACTGACTCTCTACAAGATCTGAGATGCAGTCCACTGATAGGCCACCCTGTAGAGGGGAAAGGTGGGAAGAGAGACAAAAAAAAGAGAGAGAGGAGACAGAAGAGAGAGAGAGAGAAGAGAGAGAGACAGAGAGGGAGAGGAGTAGAGAGAGAGAGAGAGAGAGAGAGAGAGAGAGAGAGAGAGAGAGAGAGAGAGAGAGAGAGTGAAAGAGAGGGAAAGGGGGAAAGAGGGAGAGAAAGAGAGAAAGAGAGACAGAAGGGAGGAAGAGAGGAACATTAGGAAAGTATATGGATATGAAGGAAAGAGAGGGAGTGAAGGAAGTGAAGGAGGGAGTGAGCGAGTAAACAGAGGAACGGTAGAGACAGTGGGGAAAGGGAAGGGAAGGCAGAGGATTTCAACAATATTTCTCCTGGATTTCAAAAAAAGCTTTCCGTTAGTTGATCTGTAAAAACGTTTTGCAAAATTCTGGCAGTTGCCATAAAGGCTTTCTTGCTGAACTATCCAAGTACTGTAGGGATGCATATTACATTTTCCTTGACTGTCCAATAACCCATTAAAATAATGAGATTATACATCTTTAGAAATAAACAATAAAAGTATAAATAAATGTTTATTATTTGGTGAAATGTTGTTGGGTCTCTTCAGGAGATTGTTCTCATGACCAATGTTCTGTCACATTTTTTGGGGCACTGAGCAAATTTTAGGTCTTGTGAGCGGAATCTTGAACATTTTGTGATAATTTTGTGCTACTTCCATCGCGCGTTCTCAGTGAACACGGAGGCTGTACCCTTACAGTTTTAGACAGTAGCCAATAGGCTATTGTGGCTATTTGAGCATAATGTACTGTAGGCCTACCAACTAAACCAATGGGGCAAATCCCATAACATTTTCACATGAAAATAGCTTTTGATTAATATGACATAGCCTACAGTAGCCTATATGTGGTGTTCAATGCAGGCCTACACTGCATGAGACTTTTAAAAACGTTTTTAAATTATGAAGGGCTTGACATGAATGACTTTTTTACTTGGTCTGTAACACCATGGCTCAAATAGGTGACTGTAAATTCCGTTGTATGATACAAGAAACCACTTTACAAAATAAAAGTAATTATCATTACCATTCAGAGAATTAGACAATGTAGGCTACCCCCTCTGCCTATTGGCTTATTTGCATATTCAAGCCTGTCTCAAAATACAACACTGGCCTTTAATTAAGGCATACGCTTTTTGCCTGACTGGATTTTCAAAGACAGCTTGAAATGTAGCCTCCATGTTTTGTGCTCTTGTAGGAAGCAGTAACTCCCCATTGCTGACCTATACTTCTCTATAACTGGGCTAATAACTCGCTAACTAGCAAAGAATATCAACAAACGTGCACACGCGAGGCTCTGCGCTCTGATCTGAACTGATCTGAAAAGTGCATTCACTCGCGGGTGATTGAAAGACCGCCGCCAATAGAATTCTACCCCATTGCGCTCTCGCTCTGCCTACAACACAATCACAGACTCAATCTTGCAAAGTTAGTATTTGTTTTGTTGGATTGAAAAGAGGCTGCTGTAATGTTGATTCGATCACAAAAACTCTGCGCGGCATGGCATTTCTTCTGCGCAGCAGTCCTGGAGGAAGTGCCGTGCGCAGTTTAGAGGGAACATTGCTCATGACTAATTTATTAGTTCCCTTTGATTCCTGTTTTCCTGTGAATCCATCTTTCCCAGGAGGGGTCAAGTAGTGTGTGTGTGTGTGTGTGTGTGTGTGTGTGTGTGTGTGTGTGTTGTGTGCGTGTGTGTGTGTGTGTGTGTGTGTGTGTGTGTGTGTGTGTGTGCGTGCGTGCGTGCGTGTGTGTGTGTGTGTGTGCGTGCATGTGTGCATATAAACAAGAGTCTGCTACTGCCAAGTCCATCTGCGCCAAATGATGAGTCAACTTCCTTTTATCTCTTGGATGTAATGTATCACATCCAGAAACATGTGAAACGTACTCCTCAGCTTTAAGTGCCCAAGTTTGCGCTGCTCAATAGCTAGCTTTTGAGTGCCGCAACGGTAGAGACGCTTGAGGGAGGCCAGTCAAGAGTGTTAGTGAAGCAGAGGTCCCGAGTTGGAGCCAGGTATGTGCCGAATCAGGGGGAGTAGTACTCACTACCTCCTTTACAGGATTGCCTGTGCTTAGCTCCATTGCGTTTCTTTTTTAACCTAAAAAACTCCCCAGTCCTTCACGATGACAAGCATACCCATAACATGATGCAGTCACCACTATGCTTGATGGTACTCAGTAATGTGTTGTGTTGGATTTGCCCCAAACATACTTTAACGCTTTGTATTCAGGACATAAAGTTAATTTCTTTGCCACATTTTGTGCAGTTTTACTTTAGTGCCTTGTTGCAAACAGGATGCATGTTTTGGAATATTTTTATTCTGTACAGGCTTCCTTCTTTTCACTCTGTCAATTAGGTTACTATTGTGGAGTAACTACAATGTTGTTGATCCATCCTCAGTTTTCTCCTGTCACAGCCATTAAACTCTGTAACTGTTTTAAAGTCACCATTGGCCTCATGGTGAAATCCCTTAGCGGTTTCCTTCCTCTCCGGCAGCTGAGTTAGGAAGGACGCCTGTATCTTTGTAGTGAATGGGTGTATTGCTACACCATCCAAAGTGTAATTAATAACTTCACCATGCTCAAAGGGATATTCAATGTCAGCTTTTTTTTTTACCCATCTACCAATAGGTGCCCTTCTTTGCGAGGCATTGGAAAACCTCCCTGGTCTTTGTGGTTGAACCTGTGTTTGAAATTCACTGCTTGAAGGAGGGGCCTTACAGATAATTGTATATATGGGGTACTGAGATGAGGTAGTCATCAAAAAATATAGTTAAACACTATTCCATGCAACTTTGTATGTGACTTGTTAAGCACATTTTTACTCCTGAACTTATTTAGGCTTGCCATAACAAAGGAGATGAATACTAATTGACTCAAGCCATTTCAGCTTTACATTTTTAATTAATCGGTAACAAATGCGAAAAACATGATTCCACTTTGACATTATGGGGTATTGTGTGTAGGCCAGTGACATACAAATGTAATCAATTTTCATGCTGTAACACAACAAAATGTGGAAAACTTAAAGGGGTGTGAATACTTTCTGAAGGCACTGTATGGTAACATGGTCATGTTTTGAAAGTCGTAGTCGACAAATGTTTGTAGCACTTTTGACAGCTCTTTCGAAAGCCCAGAAGAGGTCAGCATATTTCAGCCCAAACTTTCTCACTGTGTGTGTTTTAGTGTGTGTGTGCGTGCATGTGTGTGTGTGTGTGTGTGTTCATGTGTTTGTGTGCGGTCCCCAACTCCAACTCACCCGTCTCTGCACTCTAGCCGTGTTATCCAGGAACCTGGGAGAGAGTGGTTTGCTGTGCAGCTCCAGTGCTAACGAGGATGATGAAGATGAAGCTGTAGCTCCACTGAAGGGTGACGAAGCCGTGCTGCAGAGGGGTTTGTTCCCGTTGCTCTGCTGCCGTTTCTCAGCCCGGAACATCAGGACGCTGGCCTCCAGATCCAGACAGTCTCTTCTGCTCTCCTTCAGAGCAAATCAGATCAAACTTTTTACACTCAAATCAAATCAATCGCAACACACTTTAACAGTAAAATAGTGTGAGAATTTGACAATTACCCTTTTTATTCTTACCCAGAGTCAGATAAACTCATGGATGCCATTTTTTTTTTGTCTCTGCGTCCAGTATGAAGGAAGTTGAAGGTAGTTTCGCGAGCCAGCATGCAGGCTGTTCCGCTAGACTTCCAGTCATTGAGCTAATGCTAGTTAGCATTGGCTCACAAAACTACCTTCAACTTCCTTCATACTGGACTCTGGGTAAGTAGAAAAAGGGCTTAAATCGCCAGAATCTCGCACTATCCCTTCAAAGGTTGTTCTTCTGTCTTTTCTAGCGGGAGGTTTTTATACTTGTTTTTGGATACTTAGTTGTTCACCTGGATCTAGACACACTGCTGAGTTTTTACTGTCTTTTTCCCACTTTACAGTAAAACAATCCAATTTGTAAGTCGCTCCGGATAAGAGCGTCTGCTAAATGACGTAAATGTAAATGTAATGTAGAAAACGACCAACCTTCAGAGCATCCTGGCGCTGCTTGTACGCCCGGTCGTTGGCTATCGCCTGGGAGAGGGGTATACCAAACGCCTTTGCGGCTGTCTCTGTGGGAGAGATGGAGGGAGGGAGAGAAGGGAAAGAGGGGAGGAGAAATGAGGGATGGAGGGAGGAAGGAGAAGGGAAAGAGGGTGAGAGGGAGGGATGGAGAAAGAGAGAGGGAGGGATAGAGGGAAGGGGAAAATAGGTATGGATGGAGGAAATGAGAGAGGGAAAGATAGGGAAGGAGAGAGAGAGGGAGAAAAAGTCTTACATTAGGGATACTTATTTTTAACAAGTTGTAATTCCCTTTCTCCCCGAGGCTATTAACATTCCTCTCCTTCCCTCCACCCATTCTAATCCCATCTCATCTCCACTACTCACAAACAGGAAGGTATTTCATATTTAATCTCCCCCCTGTGTTTTGAGGGTTAAATAGCCATACATACAATAGTAACATTTCTATGGTGGGAACCATTTATTCTACCCATGGGTATTGGGGCCCAGTAATGCCCTATATCAGGGGTCTCCCACAGGTCGATCGCCTACCAGTAGCTGTGTGTAGCCAGTTGGTGAGATAACCTTTCGTGGGTTGACAGAAAATACATTCCCCAAAACCTTCTCAATTAAATGTTAACTGCAAAGTAGGTTTACCTGGCAGAAGGAAATCATGAGGAAGTATATCATGAGGAAGTATATCATGAGGAAGTATATCATGAGGAAGTATATCATTTCTATCTATTATTTGTTATTTGCTAGCTTTGCTGTGAAATTAGCAGCAGCCATTAGATGGCACATTCCTCACTAGCTAGATGCGCAATTAAAGGGCCAAATGCGCAAATAAATGGCCAGATGTGCATTTAAAGGGGAATTGCACTCAAAAATCTAAATGTGTTCGATTTATTTAACCATTGACATCGACTTAGAACATCCAATTCCGTTGTTTCTCTATGAACATTTTTTATTTTAAGAGTGAAAAATTAAACTGAGAACATAATTTGGAAAAATATAAAACAGAATTTGGGGACAGATTATCACAGATTTTATAGGGCCCCCCTTAGAGTTGTTTATTAACCATTATTTTACCAGGTATATTGACAGAACACATAGTGCACTACTTTCTCTTGTACACTAAGGACCCTGGGAAGAGTTGCAGGGGAGAGGAGAAGAGAAGAATGTGACTATTTGAAAGCTAGAAAATAATGTGTAGCCTGCCCCACGTACTACACTTTGACCCCATCCATAAACAACCCCTTCCCCTAAATACCCTCCTTATATACATTTCAAACTCGCAGATCTGAGGAAACAACATTGATATCTACTGTATATTCCTTTGTTTTCCTCACTATTGGTGACAGAGTCATGTATTTAGAGAGTTGGGACATTGAAGTTTCTGCATTATGATGCTTTAATTAACATGACACTACAACATTCTATGGCAGCCATGTTAGCTCAACATTAACATTACATGGGAAATATTTAACCAATACTATGTAACTAAATGTTTAGAATTAGAACAATATTCAAAATTCTCTAAAAGTTGGTCCAAATCTCTATATATATGGTTCTGGTGACATATAACATTTTGGTGTCATATAACCATAACAGTAAAATGCCATTATTTTATGTCACAATATAGATAACTAGTATGTCAGCAAGTGGCATATACCTACAATGGTTAAATGTCACTATTTTGACATATTTGAATGGGGCCATGTTGCTGTGTGAGTTTTGGCCTGGCATTGTAATCTGGGCTAATTGTCCCTAAATCGTAAATAGTGACGGGGAGAGGAGGTTAGAAGGGGATCAGGATACATCCTGTTAGTCAAACAACGATGGCCGTCTCAAGTGGCACCCTATATAGTGCACTACATTTGACCAGCGCCCTATCGGTAGGGTTCAAAAGTAGTGCGCTAAATAGGGAATAAGGTGCCATTTGGGACTTAACCTACAGTCACAGACAGACCATCACACCTGAAAGACAGACAGCAAGGCAACCGTGACACAGCATAACAGGTGTCACTGTGCTTGCTTAACAGTACAGCTTACTTCCCTGTCCTTGTCCCAGACCCACACTGGGCTCCAACCAGGGATCCTCTACCTCGCAAACACACATGACCGCCCGCTTGACAACGTCAGAGCCAACTATGCTGTATGAGGAGACGCGAACACAGATATTTGAAGCTGGGGAGTGAGGTTTACGAATCCAACGATATACCGTTACAATAACAGTACTGTAGCTCTACATCAGGGCTGCCCAATCCTCTTCCTGGAGATCTACTGTCCTGTAGGTTTTCAGTCCAACCCTCATTTAGCATATCTGATTCAGCTAGTTAAGGTCTTGTTGAGCAACTAATAAGTAGAATCAGGTGTGTTAAATTAGGGTTGGACTGAAAACCCACAGGACGGTAGATCTCCAGGAAGAAGGTTGGGCAGCCCTGCTCTATTGTAACACCCCCACCTGCCCCCCCGTGCTTAGCCCTGTACTCCTCCAGTCTCCTCTGTCTACATATCCCCCATAAGCAGCCCTAATGTCTTGGAACAAGTGTTGACTTGCTAAAACCAGCCGTCTGCTTTCTGACACACCAGAAGTGTTTAGTTAGACAATAAGAAGACACTGCAAGCCCTACCTATGTTGACCGTTCTCTGTAAAGTCTTTACATCTAACCATAAGACCTGTGGTTGTTCTACTGATGCTAAGGTGCTAATGCCCTGTTAAGGGACTGACATTACGGAATTCGCATAATTACATAAATAATGTGTTGATTTGAGCAGGAGCTTGAATCACGAGCTGAAGGCAGAAGTTATAGGATGTTGCCTCAAGTTACCTCATCACTCCTAGGATCTCTCTAACACACACACAGTTCAGACATGGCAAACTGTGCCCAGAGGTAAAGCTCTAAGGATACTGTAAGGGTTGACTGAACCTGAAATACACCCCCCCCCCCCCCCCCTCTCTCTCTCTCTCTCTCTCTTTCTGTCTCTCTATCTCTCTCTCTCTCTCTCTATTGTTCCACCCCTTCACCCCTCCACCCATCTCATCCTTTACTTGAAGCCGGTCCAAAGGTACACAAAAGCCATGGACACGTGTGGGTAGGTACATCAGAGGTGCCAGACGGGTTGGCACACAACTAGCTAAATCCTCCAGCAGGTGCCACTGTTTGGCTGAGGGCCAGTGGCTAGCTACAGTAGCTGACAGGCTAACTGGTTAATAAGCTAACTGGCTAGTTAGCCAGCATGTGGCTAGTTGACTAGTGGGCTAGGTGGCTAACTGTCTAATAAGCTAGCTTGCTAACTGGCTAATAAGCTAGCTAGCTAGTAGCTGTCCTCATTTGAATTACAGGACCATACGCCAGCTCTGTAGGCCTATGCTAACTGACAGTTGGCTGTGGTACAGTAGCTACATTCTGGACTCCCCTGAAGAGTTTGACCGATAAATGGATGCATACACACAAAGCAGATGTGTGTCCCTGCTTTGTTTGCAGACGACACAACAGTAGTAGGCTTGATTACCAACAATGATGAGACAGCCTACAGGGAGGAGGTGAGGGCCCTGTGAGAGTGGTGCCAGGAAAATAACCTCTCCTCTCACTCAACGTCAACAAAACAAAGGAGATGATCGTAGACTTCAGGATACAGCAGCATCGACGGGACCGCAGTGGAGTAGGTAGAAATGTTCAAGTTCCTTGGCGTACACATCACTGACATACTGAAATGGACCACCCACACAGACAGTGTGGTGAAAAAGGCGCAACAGAGCCTCTTCAACCTCAGGAGGCTAAAGAAATTCACCTTCACAAACTTCTACAGATGCACAATTGAGAGCATCCTGTCGAGCTGTATCACCGCCCGCAACCGCAAGGCTCTCCAGAGGGTGGTGCGGTCTGCACAACGCATTACCGGGGGCAAACTACCCGCCCTCCAGGACACCTACAGCACCCGATGTCACAGGAAGACCAAAAAGATCATCAAGGACATCAACCACCCGAGCCACTACTTGTTCATCCCGCTATCATCCAGAAGGTGAGGTCAGTGCAGGTGCATTAAAGCTGGGACCGAGAGACTGAAAAACAGCTTCTATCTCAAGGCCATCAGACTGTTAAACAGCCATCACTAGCACATTAGAGGCTGCTGCCTATAGACATAGACTAGAAATCACTGGCCACTTTAAGAAATGGAACCCTAGCCACTTGAATAATGTTTACATATCTTGCATTACTCATCTCATATGTATATACTGTATTCTATACTATTCTACTGTACATCGCTCTGACATCACTCGTCCATATATGTATATATTCTTAATTCATTCCTTACTTAGGTCTGTGTGTATTGGGTATATGTTGTGAAATGGTTAGATATTACTTGTTAGATATTACCGCACTGTCGGAGCTAGAAGCACAAGCATTTCGCCACACCCGCAATAACATCTGCTAAACACATGTGTGTGACCAATAAAATTTGATTTGATTTGATAAACGACTGCTTTTACGAGACACTATTACTAGAATACTACAGCTCCATTCCTGGAACTCTACAGCAGGGGAATATAGGTCTCTGTTGCATAATGACTGAGCTTTACATCGTATCCAGTCCTTTATACAGGGATGGCCTATAAATGACAACATATCTTCACATGATGGAAAACCATGGATAACGTAGCTAAACAATACAGTAGCTAGTTCAACTCAGGCCATCCATATGATGAATGCTTATTGGAGGGAAACATCAGGCCATCCATATGATGAATGCTTATTGGAGGGAAACATCATGGGGAAGACCCACTGTTGGATAGACAGTATTAATAGCAGCTCACATTTTTAAGAGTCAACAACAAGCGAGACAAAAGTGAATCAAATTAGGCAAGCGAAGGTGGAAAACAAAACAATATAACATGATTACTGTGATGTTCATGTTAAATGTGTGTGTGCCCCTCTAAGAGTCAGTGTTGGGGAAGCTACTCTGAAAATATAATTTACCAAGCTACCAATTACTTCACAATGGAAGAAGTTAAGCTACGCTAAAGCTACCCTTAAGAAACATATAGTTTACTGAACTAAAGACAAAGTTACTTTGGAGAAAGTAATTCACTACATCCAAACTACTCAATTATCATATCTAAATCTGAAATCTCATAGACTACTTTGTGGTCATATGTTAGCAGAATGTGGAATTTAGCCAAGTAAACACAGAAAAAACTATGTTTCAAGTGGGAATTAGGCAGGTCTGATCCTGAAAAAGAAAGACAATTCTGGCCTACTTCACGCATATTTAATTTAATTTGTGCAACAAAAAAATAGTGTGTAGTTCCAGTAGTTAGCTACACGCTACATGGTAGAAATGTAATTAACTACTAAAAACACTACCAAGATTTGAATTTAGTTCAAATACAACCAAGCTACTGCAAAATGTAGTTAAATTACTATTTGAACTACAGGTAGTTCACTACTCTCCAACACTGCTAAGAGTGCACAATAGTTATGGGCTAAGAGGGAGATATCCGGAGAGCGAAACAGAATGCAATGTAAGAGTGTGGGACAGAATGTAAATAAATGAGCCCAGGGGTCACACATTCCTTATATTCCCTGTATCACTCTCCACACTGTATCACTACCCTCCTCTCCACACTGTATCACTACCCTCCTCTCCACACTGTATCACTACCCTCCTCTCCACACTGTATCACTACCCTCCTCTCCACACTGTATCACTAACCCTCCTCTCCACACTGT